CACGGCGGCCGGAGGAGGCGGCGGCGGACGGGCACCTGCTGCCGCCCGCGCCCGAAGCCCGCGGCGGGCGGGGGCCGAGCGGGCGCGGCCGCGTCCCGGCGGCGCAGCGGCTCTCGGGGCGGCGCCTGGCTCCGGCGGCCTGGGCACGGCGGGGAGCGTGAATGAGAGTTTGCTCCGATTTCCGAGCCGGGTGAGTGTCCCACCGGGCGCCTGTTTTAACGTTGAATGCTGCGTATGTTGTTCTCGTCTGAGCCTTCCCGTCCCTCGGACGAGCCGCTTCGCCTCCTCCCCGGGGTACCGCCGGGGCGGCCGCCCCCTCCCCGCGTCCTCCGTCGCCTTTTGTTCGGCGCGCGGGGCCGGGGGACTCGGGGAGGGCGCGGGCCGGGAGCTGCGGCGCTGTCCGGCCCTGGGCGCGGGGGGCGGCCGCGCCGCTGCGTCCACCGCCGGGAGGCAGCGCCCGGTCCGGGCGTGCGGCGCGGGTCGGGAGCGGGCGGCGGCGGCGGAATGGATACAGCGCGGTGCGGGCTCGTCCGGAGCGGTGGAGGTCACGTCCCCCTGCACGAATACGGCTGGGCCGCCCGGCCTCCGTCGCTGCTGCTGGTTAGGGGCTGTTGGGGCGCGGTGTCTCCCTTGCACGCAGTAGTCTGTTTGGTGGCTTCTGGCTGGGAAATGAAGCCGGCGGTGCTGCTGGTACCAGGCGTCCTGTCTCTCAGTTCTGTGCGTTCGGGTGCGCCTGGCTGCCTTGGGGCTGCCCTGTGCCCGCTGCGGGCAGCCGGCCGTGTGTCTGGGAAGCGCGTCGCTTTTTCAGGTGTGCAGATGAGGGCCGTGCGGCTCGGCTGTGGAAAGGGGCTGCTGCCGGGAGTTCCATCGCTGCTCTGAGGGAGCCCTGCTGGACGCTCCGACAGGGGTGTGTGTGTGTTCTGGGCCTCGTGTCTGCTCCGCGGACAGTCCTTAGGTTTCAAGGCAACCGTGGTGCAGGTGGGGGATGTGACAGCTGGCTGTGAGCCCTTCCTGTCGTTACCTCTGTGGCAGAACTTGGGTAGCAGTGATACTGTGATGCTGGTGTGGATGTAGAGTAAGTGTTGGAGGAGTTCTTGGTGTTATATGTGGGTGAAGTTGGGGGTGCTCAATAAGGCATCTGTGTGCCGTGTTACCTGGCCGTATCTTTCCTTTTCGTGTGACAAGTGGTTTTGTTCCTCAGAAGTCATCTAGCTATGGGTCCCTGTTCATTGCAGGACTTGCATCTGCACCTTTAAGGGTCCCCTCCAACTCAAACAATCCTGTGATTTTTTTTTAATTAGAAGTGGGAGCTCCGTTAAACATTGTTTGTTCCACATCTGGTTACCTGGCCCTTCAGAAATGAAGGCTCACTCAGTCTCAGTCTGCATTCCTTTGAAGCCAGCATTGGATCTTTAACCTGATTCTAAAATGGGTAAAATATGAAGGTGGTTAATCGTATGTTGGTACCAAATGACAGAAGAATCCCTGGCAGCCTGAGCTGGATGTTACAGCTCTCATGCTGGGCTTGTTTCCCCACCATAATGAAGGTGAGGTGAGGCTGACACCGGTAGGAACTGAAGACTTACAGCATTCATTACATGTCCACAGCTCTGTGGGTGTCCTCATGGAGGCACTTCTGGTTGGCAGCAGGTAAGGCTGTCTGAGGGATAGAGTCGGGCTAATGGGTTTCTCATTGTAATGGTGGCATCGCTGAGCCGGGTGCTGGGAGGTGCTGCGGTGGTGCCCGCGGCTGTTAGGAGAAGCCACACTGAGCCCATCTCCCTGTCCTTGCCTCCTGCCTGGAGCATCGCTGAGGCCTGTGACGTAAGTGCCTGTGGGGGAGGAGGAATTGAGGGCAGCAGCTGGAAAAGCCTGTCCTCACTCCTCAGGGATCTGCCTGAGGGGAGAGGAAGCCCCGCTGGGGGTGGAAAGCCCTGCTGGAGAAGGAGCAGGGCTGGCCGGGGGTGCTGGTAACAATGTGTGGGCAGCCCCAGGCATTACCCCTGCCCTCCTGCCCTTGTGTAGCGTGGAAACTGATGGGAGTTCCTTGTAGGAGTGCAGTATCAGGTGTCAGGCGTTCCGTGTTGTTTGAGAGTAGGAGGCTTGAGGGGGAAAAAAACCTGTATTTTGTTTTTGTAAGGAACCTTGTGCAGTGTATGAGAAGTGGTTAATTAGTGTCACTGTTAAATTCAGATATACCTCTGCAATATGAAGCCCTGACTGTCCATAATGCTGAATATATTCAGTGTCTTCACCGTAGCTTGGTATTTCAGTGTTCACTCTTCAATACAAAGACTTTACAGCTGCGGAGGAGCATAAACTGTTCAACCTCCAAAGTAACGACCTGTTGGAAAAATGAACCACGACCTCATTTCACATTGTGCTGCTGTGAAAATTCATAGTTTAGTTTTAACTCAGTCACCGCCTCTCTTGTTCTTGGAGACAGGAGACTGCTCTGTGTGTGACATATGGCTCCATTAAAAGTTTTCTGATGATTGTCTTTTTGTTTAAGAAGTCAAAGATCGTGTTTCCTGATGTTTTGTTTCCTAAAGGTCAGGAAAATGAATGCTGTTTAGCAATGCATGAGCACCTCACTGGATTTTCCTGGTTTAAGCTAGGCAGTGGCTGCTCCAGGTCTCTTCCTTCTCAGTCCAGTATTTGTCAGGCTAATTTGTCAGGATTACTCTGAGTTCCCAAATCCCAGGCTGTTAGTAAGGAACTGCAGTTCTATGTGCAGACAGTCTGCTATCCTGAGCTGTGGGCTCTCTTCTCCAGACTGACTGTTTCTAGCCCAAATGGGGTGTACTGTTTTCCAGCTTTATCTTGCAACAATGGTTCTTTTTCTTCTCTACGCTGATTTGTTTTTCTGGGTTAGGTACTGCCTGCACATTGGTGAGCTGATCTGTGGAGCAATCTGTGCACAGAAATACAGCTGTTAAGTGTCATTTTGGGTCAGAACGTTGGACACTGCCAGGATTTATGAGTTTTAAAGTCTCAGAAAAATGGGAGTTTTTTCCTTTTATCCCATGGTCACTGTCAGTCATGTGGGTGTGGGGGACAAGGCAAAGCGGAGCGTTTTCCTTTTAGGTTGGAATTCATTAATACAATGACAGTTTAGTGGTGAACTGAACTGGAAATAAGTTAGTGCTGCTTTGTGTTATGACACATGCACAGAAAAAGTCATCGTCTTTGAAGCCATTTCTGACTTCGTAAATATTAGCAATCTCTGCAGTCTTTGTGGAGAGTAGGCACTAGATTTTTTTTTCTTCTCCTTAAAGGTACAATTTCTCCTGTATAGTAAATCGCCTTGGCTAAAGGGTGGCATTCAGCTGCAAATTAAAAATACATTATTTCCAGTTAGGAGCTTTCTTGCTCTTTTCCCTCTCCTCCCTTTGACACCCAATTCTTTCTCCTGATGCACTCTCTGGCAGTAATAGATTTAATTCCTGACTTAAGAGACCAGGCCTTCAGAGGTGCATAAATGACTGAAGATGCAGTTATGTGCTTCTGAGAGTGGCAGAAGGTGAAGGCTCCTGACCTGCTCCTTTGGTTGCATTTGAAAAATTTGAATCTTGGGTCACTGTGTGTCTTTAACATTTGCTCATGTTAATGAGGGAAAAAACTACTGGCTTTGATGGATGATGGTTTTTGTAAATGTGCTTGGAGAATACTTAGGGTTGTCTGGTTTGCTTTTAGTTTGAAAGCTGTGTCTGCATCTCAACAGAAACTGGAGTTCAGCTGAGATGAGCTGTTTACAACTCGGAGTTACTGCAGCCATTCTCTGCCAAGCTCTGTTGAGAACATGTCGCCTGTTCTACAGAAATGTGCTATCAAGAGTGCATTGCACTTAGCATAAAGCTTGCCCTATAGGTGTCTGGGGACAGAAACAAACTGATCTTTTATTTCCTAGTATACTTTAAAAATAAGTAAATTTTCTGTGTCTTGCTTTTCCTTCCTGGGATGCAGGTCTTAGAGGTCACTGTAAGTCACTGGTGCTGCAGCTGTTCTCAGTGCTGCTGCCCTTCTGCAGGAGCTGATGTTTCTGGTTACAAACCCCAGACACTGCAGCTCTCTCTTCCTGATCTCATCAACGCAGATGTTGACACATCTTTTGACCCGTGATTAAGGGATTTATGACTAGGTTTGTGGGATGCACGTGCCCAGGAAGCATAATCATTAGATGCTGCGTCACATAGATGTGTGTGTTCCTTGGGATGTGTGCGTGCAGACTTTGGTCCCAAACTTATCTCTGTTTTGAACAAGTGCTTGCTGATGTTTGGGTACACTGTTGCTGTATGCTGCCCTGGCTCGGCAGCAGCCACCTCACTCAGGGCTCTTCTGTCTGCTCAGCATATTCATATGTTCTCACGGTTCCTTTGTGATGTGTGTGAACATCTGCCTTAGAAACTACAGTAAATGAGGTGAAGTTCAGATGTTTCTTATTCTGCCACATCTGTTTTGTGTGCTTATGTGAGGAACTCTGTGGTCCATGTTAAATTTATAAAGGATTTTTATTTTTAGGTCAATGCTCCAGGTGCAGAGTGGAACTGTTAGTGGAATGTTGACAGCCATGTAACACTGCTGTCAGCTGGGAGGGAGGGAGGAGGACAAGAAAACAGATTAAAGTGTGAAACACCACTTTATCCTTGGGATACTCATCAAGCTCTGTGGGAGGGTACAGTTTTGTTCCTTGAGTGTTGAGCGTCTCCTCCTCTATATCTGCATGTAGTCGGCCAAGCTGTGGTGGATTTTTTTTTTGTGCAGGAAAAGTAGTCAACAGTTGCTTGTCTTCTCCACGTTGGTAAATGAATTTTAGATTTTCAAAGTACCCCCCTGAAAATAACTGCTTAATGTGAGAGGTCTATACTTATCTTAATTAAAGAGAACAAAACCGCGCACTTTGTGGTGGCCTGACATATACAATCAGTGCCTGAATTCTATTATTTTCTACCACTATAGCTGCCTTATCAGAGCTCTTGATAGGACTGCCAGTGGCTTTTATTAATAGCCTGCATTACTAATGCTTGGCTTTTTTACCATCTCATAGAAGCCAGTTGTTCCTTCAATATTCATTTCAGGTACAAAGTTGCTTATATATAGAACACTGGAGATTCACAGGTTTGGAAACGAACCAATTTTGAAAATTAATATCAGAGTTTTGAATGAAGGATCCACAAGTTATCTTTAGAT